ACCGAAGCGCGCGGTGCATTCAGCCTGCCGCCCGGGCGCGTGGTAATCAGCTATGGCAAGCCAGCTGGAAAAACAAGAGCTGCCTTGACGCGTAGCAATTTGGTGGTGTTTACCACAGAGGAAACAATTATTGATTTGACAGCGTCGCGGCTGCGTAAGGCCCAATACACAGTACAGCGACGCAATCAGACGGATGAAACGGGGTGAGTTATTTGATGAGTGTTGTTGCTGCGCACATGGTGTCGATCACCGATTTCCTTGGCTTGTTCTATGACACTGAGCCGTATTCCATTGCTCACATCTAAATGCTTATAAGCTTTAAGGTGTTCTTGCATTTGCAATCATTTTTGTTCATTCTTACCGGCTCGTTGTCTTTGCAGAAGCATGCATTAACATGTTCGTTTCCACTGCAGAAATCCGCTGTATCAAAACATGCAGTAGGTCTTACGCAGTCTGCGAGAGCATGCCTATACATCTAACAGGATCGGGTACCAAACATGACTTACTGTAGGCTAGTTGAGGCGCCATTCAGACCTTACCATGACTGCCAGGTGTGTTAGATATTTGTTGAAAGGTTCTGTGGAGTCAGGCCGACGGAGTGGTTTATTTCGGAGCTGTAATGCGGCACAAAGCGTTGCTATGCGCTCCGCCCCCCCCCCCCGAAAATGACGGACTGATGCCGTGATAGCAATGCACTTGATTTCATTAAGTGCAGGAACTGTTCCAAATATGCATGAGATTTTAACCGAAATAGCTATTATATTTATATATTGCTGTTACGCATATATATATATATATATATATATATATATATATATATATAGATGTTATACAATATATATGTATATATACAGTATGATAAATATCTATCTATATATATATATATAACATATAAAGAGAAAGAGAGAGAAAGAGAGAAGAGAAAAGGGAGAGAGAGAGAGAGAGGAGCGAGAGAGAGAGAGAGAGAGAGAGAGAGAGAGAGAAGAGAGAGACTAGAGAGAGAGAGAGAGAGAGAGAGATAGAGAGAGAGAGAGAGAGAGAGAGAGAGAGAGAGAGAGAGAGAGAGAGAGAGAGAGAGAGAGAGAGGAGAGAGAGAGAGAGGGAGAGGAGGATGAGAGAGAGAGAAAGAGCAGGAGAGAGAGAGAGGAGAGAGAGGAGAGAGAGAGAGAGAGAGAGAGAGGAGAGAGAGAGAGAGAGAGAGAGAGAGGAGAGAGAGAGAGAGAGAGAGAGAGA